CCCCGTCCGGGAGGCGGTGACGCTGCCCCGCTGAGCGTGGGGAGGCACCGGAGGCGATTGCTGCAGCATCGGCCTCCAGCTGGCAGCGGCTGTAGACAAATGCGAAGTGGCAAAAATTTAAAGAACTAAGAAGAAAACAAAGAAAGAGCTTCAACCCGTGTACTTAAATCCTAAATAATCTCTGAAGTAGTAAGTATTTGTACCTGTATAATGTGCTTCTCTAAACCATCTAACCTTAGTTAACTTTTCTGAAGAGAAACTAAAATATTTTCATCGTGTGTTTTCCTGTTTCCATGTCTCCCTTCTGACTGTTTGTATCTCGAGCAGGTAAGCTCACAGAACTCTGCTGTCTTTGCAGTGACTTGAGGTGGCTTGGACTTGTCTAAACTGGAAGATGTGGAGTGGACTGTTACCTCCAGGGCTGAATGAGAGTGATGTTGACTTAAGTTCTGATGATGAAGACCAATCACATGGTTCCTTGTCAAAGGAAGGTGCGAAAGGAGATGGTGAAAGCGTTCAGCTTTCTGGATTGCAAGAGAATGGACCTGACAGTAATGCCATCAGTGGAGCTGTTGTGATACCAGTGGCAGATGGAGAAGACGAATCTGAAACGTGCCCTGCTGGAGTTTCTTTAAATATATGGAATGTGGGTATCGTTACAGGTCTCCAAATGTCCAGAGTATAAATGCAACATACTCAAAGTCCAGTGGCTGATTTTTAAATTGAAGTAGCTCAGTACTGAATATTGAATGTACAGATCTGAAATGAAGTAAAATATGATCAAAGTGCAGTCATCCTAATATACCTTAGATTGTTTCAAGCAGGCTGAGCAGGAAATTAGAGAGGAAGTGAATGTAACTTTTTTATTTCCCCTAGTGCAGTGGTGATTGAAAGCACAGCAGGGAGATGTTTGGGTAACTATACAGTTGCATCCAGACTTGTGTTTTCAGTGCTGTGTGGGCTCTGAGCTTCCCTGTAACGGCTTTCTGCATTAGTGAGGATTTACAGCTGAGGGGTATCAGCCATTGTACTGGTGGTGTGTGTCTGTGGGGTAGAAGTGTGCCTCTGCTCTCTGTAGGGGTTAGTTGTGGGCATTCAGACTCGCAGTTCCTTATCACCTCTTGATTTTTCCTGTTGCATGTAAAGACTGAAAAAAAAAAAAATTTAACAAAGCGATCCATGTTTTTTGACTCAAAGTCAAAATAAGAATTGGCAAAACTACTCTCCTCCATCCATCATCTCCTGTAGGGAGCCTGCTGCGGTGCAAAGACTAAGCTGTTAGTAACACCTGCATTACAAACTACCAGCCAGGCAATAACGATACACCGGCTAGCTCAGGAGTGTGCAGCCAGCATGACTGTATCCAGCTTCACGTCCCTTGAGAAAAACTGTTGGATTTGAAAAGCCTTGGGACTTAGAGAGGGTAGAAAGAGAGAGGTGATGAAAGATTAGAGCCCATTCCAGCTTAACACCTTCAGAGTGAGATGTTCTTAATTCATAAACTTTAATGTAACAGATATAATAAGGTCATGTGAATAAGATACTGCGCAACACTGCTCAGCGTATCATGTAATTTTTATTGAAAATGGGGGAAAATTCGCTGATTGTCTTAATCTTGCAGAAATTTTTGGAGCTTCAAAAGAAAAACCGTGAAATGAGAACCCAAGCAAAAGAGGGAAACAGAGGTCGGAAGAGAAGGCGCCACAGAAAAGGTGTTGTATATAATTACAAAATTGACTTTCTCAAAACAGAATTTGTATCAAATACATTGGAAATGGGATTTGCTGGTTTGTGGGGTTTTTTTGTTGGATTTGTGTGGGTGAGGATTTTTTACCCCAACATAATATAATATTACCCCAAGAATATAACTTGTGACTAGATGTATCCTAGCTATTATCTAGGAATTTATTTTTCCAGGTATATCCATTTGTGGGACTAGCTTACTTCAGATTCAAGTAATATATTTGTTTCCTTTTTAAAAAAGAGTTAAAAGTTACAGTTAGCCATTACAAATCAGTATTGAGTATTTCAGTAATTCTCTAAAACATACTTTTGTGTATTATGATTAAAACATTTTCACACGTATTGTAGGTGTTTGTTTGTATGAAAAGTCTTAGAGCTGAGAGGTTTAAAACCACATGATCATTGGGTAAAAATCTTACTGTGTCAGAAGGGAGTGTGACCAGTTAGGGTTCTGATAACTTCATTGGATGCTCTAGGGTATTACTGTGTAACATTGGATATTTATTTTTTTTTTCCCCCCTCTCTAGAAAAACAGAAAAAGAATGATGAAGTGACTAAGAGGTATAACCAGGTCAATGTGCTCATCTGAGGTTTGTTTTTGATCCCGGGCAGAAATTGTAAATAGCTTGACCACATGCACGGCCAAAGCCTAGCTTTGAACATCACGTAAAATACCTGCTGAAGCCGCTCAGTGTCTCTGAGCGGGCTAAATTTGATACCAGTGATCGCTTAATGGAGTTCATTGCTTAATTTTAAAAATTGGTGCAAATGTATTGTTTAATGTAACTTAAAATGGACTTAATGTTTTTCTCAATGATATTTTGCCTGTAATTGCATACAAGCCCCTGTTCAGTATGCTCCTCCTCATCTTTTTCCTCTGTGGCATTGATAGGTTAACGGTGGGACTCGATGATCTCAAGGGTCTTTTCCAACTTAAATAAGTCTATGATTCTGTAAGTTCGCCCTCAAGATTGTGGATTACAGAGGGGAAGGAATAATTAATTTCACTTCCATTAAAAACAGAATGAGTGAAAAGAGCCTTTCTGCCAAATGGAAGAATTTCTTTTAGCATTGAAAAGAATTTTACACATTGTAGGAAGGGAGCTGGTTATGTTAATGCCTTTTTTTGGGTTGTTTTTAGCAGTCAACAGTTGGCAAATGAAGACAAATGGAAAGAACTTACACAGTACTTTGGAATCAATGACAGATTTGAATCACCTTTGGATAGCAAGGCTCCCCAAAAGGTGACTGCTGATAAAATGTAATGTCTGCTTGTACTTGGCAGTAAAAGAACTCAGCCTTAACTGAGATAGACAGTATCCATGTTTGTTTTCTGTCTGGTTTTGTTTTCTGTTATACTGAGAGACAGAACACTTGATTGTGTTGTTTGACTTGTGTTATAGTTGTGTTTTAACTTTAAAATGTGTCACGTAAATCCTTTCGTTGACACCAGTGGCTGTAGGAATTAGAGGAGCAAACCCACCGTACAGTTTTACTGGATTTATAACACATTCTGTTCATAAATATTATTATGCACTTAGTCATAATAACTGGTATAACAGGGTGAAGAAGTTAAACTCATATTCTGAGTTCCTCAGCACTGTTTGTTCTGTAGTTTTTCTGGTAAAAGCCGGTGTAAGTTCTCTGACCTCAAATATTCAGTTAGCCTCTTTTATGATAAACTTCATAGTTTTCATTTGCCTAAAGTAAGTTTCTGCATGCAAGTCGTGAGGCATTGTACGCTTCTGTCTGAGTTCTTACTTCTGGTGGGTTGTCATTAAACTGCTCAGGGCAGATCTGGAGTGTGGTCCAAAGTGTTAAAATGCAGATCCTCTCCACAAGTTCAGAGATTTTTATTACTAGTGGAACATATGCCTCATTAATTTCAGAGGAGACATCTGATAGAATTGGCTATCACTGCAACTTCCAATTCTGCACTTATCCAGGCAGGAGTTAAAAAAAAAAAAAATTCAAGTGCAGTATTTGCACATCACTGTTTCTTGAGAATTCAGTTTGGTTTTTTGCTTTTACTTTTTTAAAAGATATGTGTTATGAAACTCAAATGTGTTTTCTTCAGTGTCACAAATATTTAAAACCAGTGAGGCTACTCTGTATGCCTTCAGAAGTTTCCAACTGATTTCCAGTAAATATTTACTTTGTATTGTTACATTACTTGTAAATGTTGTCATTATGTTACACTGATAGTAAAGGTTATTTCCTTATTATCAGAGCTTAAATTCTGAAGCTTTTTTATTGTTTTTCCATAGGACTGCTAGAATTTTTAATTTATTAGCACAGCGGAGTGGCACCATGCCAGAACTCAGTTTTTGGATAAAGATAAGATCTTAGAACTGTAACGATAGAGTGGTAATTGCCATTCTTCATGTTACCTGACACTTATATTTCACATTTTGTTTAGAAAGCTCCAGGGATGGAAGAGATAAGCCAGATCTTCAGATGAAATTTTATTGTGACAGGCATAAACTAGTCCGTGTAATTTTTTTAACCTACAGTATTATCCTGCACATAAGGTGGAACTAATGCAATGATTTGTGCTCAGGCAGCCTTTCAGTGAATTCTTAATTATACTGTCCGTTACAATACATAGACAAAGTGATTTGTGTTACATAGAAATTACAGGTTTATGCAGTGTCTTAAAATAAAGGATTTTATGAAAGAAGTATTTTTAGAAAGGAGATGTTCCCTTTAAACGTATTAGTTCTTTTTGTCCTGAAGATATTTGCTTTTCTTTTTCTAGTCTGGCCTTGAACTTAGCATAGAGAAGTCTGTGGCTGAAGGTGACATTGATAAGGCTGAGGAGCTGAGTGATAGATTAGCCATCCGGGAGGTAAGTGGGCTGTTCACAAAAGCTCTTAGGAAATGTTTAGTTTTGTACGTCTGTCATAACTAAAATAGCATTGATGATTGTTTGGGGCATCTTTGCTCTTTCCTAAGCTGATTTCTCTCAGTGATTGAAGGATTTTGCTGCTGTTGTTGTAATGCTTGGACAGCTGTAGTTGTGTATCAGAATTGAAAATACAGCCATGAATGATCCCAGGTAACCTTGCTTTGAAGCCTTCGTGCCAACACCATGAGTCAGATGAGTCATTAACTAGTCATCCTTACTGAGATTTTGGTTTTTCTGCTTGTCAAAAGCCAAGTAAACAGGAGTAAGGTGTTCCCTGTGCCTCGCTTTTCTTTACATTCCCTCCCCGGTAAACCTGGGAGGCCTGAAGAAAGGTAGAGACTTAGCAAGTTTAGAATGAGACATTCCCAACTGTGAGCAGATGCACTCAAATTTACCAGTCCATGCTTTTTTCCTTGTGTATTCGTGTGATCAGGAGTTGATGGCTGGAAGAAAGAAGAATGGATGGATCTCAAACATACTGCTGTAGCCTTAAAATTATGTTCATAGAATGAATGGTTGTGTTTTTCCTCTTTGATATAAGTTTTACTATATAAATACATATTTTTAAAAAAATCTAGCAGAGAAAAGCTCCATTTTTTCAAGATGTTATTGGTGTATCGGAGTAATTTTATGAAGGCTATGCTGCTGCAAAATGTGAACCCTTTAAATCTGTATGTAGTGGTGAGGGATCTACCAGATATTTGTGGTAACTGCAGTTTCTTGTAAAACATAGTTAAATTGGTGCACGTATGGTAGGTGGTAGCAGCTGAAGTACGTGGTTGAAATCCATGGAGGCTGTTGTGGCCACTGCTGTTTGTGCACATGGGAGAAGATGCAAAGAGAGAAAATTACGGTGGTAAATAAAATAGGATGGTTTAAAACCAGGTAAGGAAGAAAAATAAGTGCTGTTTAAGGTGAATGGATAAGCTATCAGTTTTAGGTCATCTGATTTATATGATTTAAACTGTAAATAGTCTAAACTTATATACAAAGTTAATTTTTTTCACTTTCCTTCTTCTGTCTTGCACACTACTCGGTCTTCACAGTTAATGCAAATTTTCCGTCCATATATATACTAGCAAAATTCAAAGGTATTAGAAAGCATTAAGAAAGAGAAATTCCAAGTACTTCTCATTCTCTTACAATTTTTTAAAATGTTTAAGTACAGGGTTTCAAACTAAGCAGATTTAAATCTGCAATTTTACCCTGAAATAGAGTATTATGGTGGCTTTAAAAACAGGCAGCTTTTGAAGCAGGAAGTAGAGTTCTTAAGGTTCTGTAAATAAGGTCAGGTGAAACTAACTCTTCCTCGGTGCGTGTTCTTACACTGACGTTAAACTCTTCCATTTAGTCACTGGGGGCAGTTTCTGTTGACTAGTTCTGAAACAGCAGTTTCTGTTCGCTGCCGTTTCACCAGTGATCACAGAACTTCAATCCACAGAGACAACAGCTGAGGACAGTAGTAGGGATGTGTCCCAATGTTCCCTTTTTCTGACCACTTGCTCGCTGTGATTCTGTTGTATTACCTTTCATGAGTGTGACGTGAAAAACACTGGCTGTTCTCCTTCACAAATGTCAGTATCCCATCTACTCTAAAGCGGTTAGAGCGTCATAATCAATAAAACATACTGAGGTTCCAGTGCAAATTGTTTGACTATACAAACCTGTAAAACTTCTTACATTAATTTGTTTTTAATATTTATGATAAACTGTTACCTGATTTTGGTAGCCATGGGATTGTATATTTATGATAAACTGTTATCTGATTTTGGTAGCCATGGGATTGTACAGCATCTAGCATATCCCAGGTGCTACAGCAGTGTATTATTATTTGTGGAACATTAGCTCCAAATTGTTGACTTTCAAATATTAGCATGTTGTAATTCTGAAAACAAAATGCTTGAAACATTATTAGTATTCACAGCCTTGCCTTGGTTTTGGTGAAGTGGGTTTATCTGAATAAATAGTGTGTTGAAAGAAGGAAAACTTGAATGACTGGCTTGATCTCATGAGGAGTTCTGTCGAGGCAGAATCCATGTGAATTCACTGGGGTTCTGCACTGGTGCAAAGACATGTTACATAGCCCACTGCTAGATTCGTTCTTCCTTGTGATTTTTAAGAAGCTGTATTTTATTTAAACAGATATTTTAAAATATTTTATTCTAAGGAAATCGTTCTAACTGACTAATTCTAATTCAGTGAAGAGCTGTAGAAAAGGATTTGATTCTGGAAAAGGTTGATCAAAACCAGATTGTTTCGTGTACTAGTACAATTAATAAAATACTCCTTTCGTATTTGACATTCCGTCGCTACTTTCCTGCTCTTTGCATTTCAAAGGAATGTCCCTTTTAAAATGCATTTTACTTAGAAGTTAGCTATTTGTTTTAAGCATGTGGCTATTTGTATCCCTGTAACTTCCAAATGCAACACAACACTGTGAGGAAGTCAGGCATGGAACTCTACTCTGGCTGTATTGAAGTACACCACTTCTGAAGTCTAGAGAAATAAGTGGATGAATTATTGTTCTTTTATCTCAACTTCACCTGTTTTTTATGTATAGTTTTCATTTTTCTTGAGCCAGTGTTGCAGGGTTGGGAGCAGCGAGCAGATGAGAAACATCTGCCTTCTGTTTGGGGTACAGCCCCCCTTGCAGCCATGTGAAAAATGTTCAGTGGGTAGGTGTTCTTTCTGAAATCAGGTGTATGGGGGTTTAATCAGCACCATTTTCTTTTGCAAGAAGCAGTGACTGGAACCTGCTGATAAAGCTTTTGCTTTGAGGCACAGATCCCAGAGTTCTTAAAGCCGTTTCCTGCCTTAATAAGTGAAACTAATTTTTGATGTATAACATTTATAAGCCTGTGAAACTGATAGGGCAGCTTCAGTGTTTAGAAAAAAATGAAGCCAAAAATAAACAGATGATGAGAATAGGCAGTAAAAACATGTCCTAAAACGCAAAGGAGTGCCAAAATGATGCTGTCAATGTGCTATCGTTATGACACAGTGAGAAAAGGTTTTTAAAAACCCAATTCCTTTAAAATCAGTGATGATTTAGGCAATACGCATAATCTAGCAGCTGTAAGTGGATCACTGAAATTTGCATCCTAAAAGCCTAAACTAGACTGCTTCAAGGTTTTGGGTCTTGGTTTCCATGTGGTACTTGTTGCAGGTCCTTTAAGGAAAATGTTATTGTAGTGCTGTAAATGAGACTCTGGGCCATGTAGTGTTTGTTGCTTTCTTCTGCTTTGACAAATAGGCACAAATGCTGATTGTAAAACAAAACTTCTAGCAGCATTTGAGGGTTTAGACTGAGAGAAGTTAGAACTTGGGTACTGTGCTGGGTACCATGACAGGTACCTTATGCATGAGGCTCTGGATTTGCTAGTGCATGTGTAGATTCATATGTAGATGTTTAGACTAGCTAAAAACGTTTTACCCCTTTTTTTTTTTCTTATTGGCAGTTGCATTTCTATTAAAAACAAAGAATTGTATGTATGTGATGATGATATTTAGTCTAATCTCCCTGTGACTCAAAGTATTACCCCTTGTGTCCTGTTGTCATCCGAGTTTGTGGACTTGAAGAGTGATGGCAGTTAGTTCGGGAGTTATCAGGGTGGCAGATCTCAAACTGTAGCATCCTTGGCCATCCCCACAGCATTTTCTCCTGTGGGGTGTTTGCTTCACTGGGGGTTCTAGCAATCCTGATATTCTTGACTGCGTTGTTTTATATGAGTGAAATTCTTCCTGAAAGAAGAGGGGTCTGTCTGCGTTATGCTGTACGCAGTGGTTTAGGCCATCAGTAACTGCGTTTTCAGCTAGACTGCTTCTAGGGCCCCGAGGAGCTTCAGCAGCTCAGTGCTGTGCTGCTGTTACAGTGTATGAGATCAGCACTCCTTTAATGTTGAGCATCAGCATAATGCAGGTGGGTCATACTGCTTAACCGTAATTCACTGTGGATTTTTAAACACGCTGTTAGACTGAATTATTTCTGTAATACCTACAGCATAGTACTGTTGGTATGAAATAACTAGCAATTCAGTGCAGTGTGCTGGTACAATATGCACAGTTAAGGTTTATTACTGTAATCCAGTTGCTGTCTTTGTTGTAAGGTTCCAGGGCTTTCAGCATTGGTAGAGTCCTTCAGGATTCCAAGTTGTTCTTTTCCAATGCAGAATGTCTGACTTAAAGCTATTGTTCAAACACTGTGCTTCGTGAAGACTTGTTTAACTTGATAGATGCCAACAAAAGTGTTAATATTACCTTGGGGTTACCCCCAACATTCTGAACGGTTTAGAATGAAAGCTGTTCAGAGAACAGGGTTTATGGGCATGCTTGGGTGAGCTGAGAGAAAATGGTTTTCTTGTTGAAACTCTAGTAGAGTAGTTGAGGTTTCATGGTAGCAGGTACTTGGTTATGTAGCTGGGAACAGGCACTTGGAGTTACATGAATTTTTCCAACACTTTTGGAATCATACCTGGACATGTACTTTAATTGTACTTTAATTTCCTAATTAAACCAAGTAATTTGAAAAGATTCCCCCCACCACCACTAATACATAAACCTGAAAATATTTTCCAAGCTTTTTTCACCTAGAGAGAGAATTTTTCATAGTGCTTTGTTACGCAAATCGTTGTGCTGTGTCTCAAAAAGCAGAATGCAGATTGGTTATGGCTCTAGTATTCTGAGAACTAATCTCCCCAAACCTCAAACTTTGCATTACGCTTGTGGTTTTTGCGTGAAGTGTCTGGTAGGTAGGTGCCACGTTGTCTAAGAGTGCCTTAGCCTGAGGACTGTAACTTGAACACAATAAAATACTCTTGACCATGTTAGATTTACCTGTCAAAAGGAACTTATTTTAAAGTATTTTGTAATTTAGTGTGCTAAATTACCGGGGTAGTTGTCAGTCTTTAAATAGCATGGGGCGTTTGGTTTTGACAGCACTC